GCATGGCACGAGCACAAATAGGCACGACACGATTCGAACAGTGCCTAGGCCTGGTCCGGGCCTAGCAAAGTTAACAAATGCACTTGCATGGCACGACACGAAAACTGACGGGTCTTGCCAAGCACGGCACGAAATAAATGGCCCGAAGCATGACCGTGTCGTGCCGGCCCAACTCTCAAGCACGGCCCAGCGCCCATGTACAGTCATGAACAATATTGTTCAGTAAGATGATTACTTCGAGCAAGGGGTATATGTTGTGGGTCGTGACTCATTCTCCCCACATCTGAAGCTTACTTCTGCGTTTGGCATGCTTGCCTATGGATGCTCAGCATACTCTTTGGATGAGTAATGTCGAATGGCTGAGAGCACCGTACTATTGTGTTTAAGGAAATTTTGCTCGGCTGTCACCAGCATTCATTATGCTCAATATTTGCGTGCACCAACTATAGATGATACTCGTCGCCTCTTCATCATGTTGCACAACGTGGCTTTCCGGACATGATTGGTTCTATCGACTGCATGCACTGGGAATGCAAGAACTGTCCAACTGGGTGGGCAGACCAATTCACTGGTCACAAGAAGAAATCAAAAACTGACCTCGAAGTTGTGGCGTCATACAACACATGGATTTGGCATGCCTTTCTTTGGAATCCCTGGATCGAACAATGATATCAAGAAACTCAAGAACTGGTTCCCAAGGTCACTTATGAGATAAATGGTCAGACGTACGATCAATGTTATTACTTGTTGACATAATTTATCCTGAGTGAGCTACATTTGTGAAGACTATTAGCAATCCAAGTAACAAAAAAAAAAAGTTGTTTGTAAGGTGTCAAGAGGCTTACCGGAAGGATGTTGAGTGGGCCTTTGGCATATTTCAACAAAGATGGGCCATTTCAGGGGCCCTGGACATTTTTGGGATGTGCAAACCCTTGGTGACATCATGTTAACTTATATTATTATGCATAATATGATAGTGGAATATCATATGTATGAGTATGAGGATGGAGAAAAGGTGAACATTGATTACGAGAGTAATCCAAATGTCACATGGGATCCACCCGAACATAACATTCATACTCTTATGGAGTACATGGCAAGGCATAACAGGATTCGAGATCCAAAAGGACATCACGCATTGCGGAACGGCTTGATTGAGCATTTCTGGATCATACATGGAGGAGAGTAGTCGTGTGTTGTGTCAAAATGAAGAAAGTGGTACCCTAATGTATTTCCTTCGTTTTCCTAATGTATTTTCTATGTTATCTTAATGTATTTCCTTGTTATCTTAATGTATCTCCTTGTTATGTGTCTGATAAATAAGGTACTCGCACTAGCAATGGAAGAAAAGAGTAAATCAAACATAAATCAAATACATGAAAAATACAAGGATAAGCATACATCAAACGTACCACAAAACTACATAAATATTAAATATCGGGACCATCTTGGTAAGAAGCCACAATGTCATCTTTTTGACTCTGATACCAAGTCTGAGATCGAGGAATCATTTGAGAAAGATCCTTATTCATTACCATCATCTCATGTCTGTTCTTCTCCCTTAATTCCCTTGCTCTATCTTTTGGTTCTCTTTCAACCAACTCTGCGTTCCTCTCTAGCGAGTGCTAGCCTTGTGTGAGTTCGAATTATCCACCAAAGTGGTCATACTCTTGTCCCAACTTTCCGACAAAGAATATGGAGTTCCTGTGTTCTTCTTCTTTTGCTTATCCTAGCCTTCGAGACGATTGATCACAAAAGGAGAAGTTTGAACATCGGGGCTATCACTCTCGCCAGATAGGAAGCCCGATGAAGATCCACTCATTAGTGGAATGGGTGGCATGGGGAAATTAAATTGCTGCAGAAAATTTGGACAATGTTGACAAATCTCCCTACAATGCTGCAAATAGAAAGGCATTCCGATGTTTGCCTTGTAAATATTTTTAGCTCGCTCAACATGCAATTTTTAAAAAGTATTTTTAACTAATATGAACAAGCTAATCAATTAACAAATTAATTTCATAATAATCCTTAATTGCACTTGACTCACTACATTGGTGAGGTTTTCTCCATTCATGGATGTCGCGCTTGCTCTTCTCGACGTCGCATTCCAGGCACCACATAACTTGAGTCTGGTCTTCCATCGATTTTGCAGTGCCTCGTCAGGACGTGGAATACACGTGCTATTCTTCGCAAATACTAACCCAAATCGCCTCCAAAACTCAGGCCCAAATTGATAATGGCCGACAGAACCAACCTCTGAAATTTCAAACCATGCTTTGCACAAAACTCGCTTCGGGCTCCTAACAATTTGGTGGGTGATTGCTTTGAGACGTAATCAGGCATTTGGAAGAAGATGAGTATCACAATTGGAGAGAATTGAGAGGGAAAAAATGGAAGGGATGAAGTGGAAGTGAAGAAATTGGGGGTATATATAGAGAAATTTGGCAAAAACTAGTTGTTGGGGCTGAAAGAGTCATTGGGGGAGAGTGTGGGTGTTGAAATGTATTTTTTTAACATACAACGACTTTATTGGAGGAAGCGTCGCGTATGCAATGCGTGTGCCAGAGCGCACGTCTGTCGAGCAATCTCCCCCCTCAAGCGCGTCGGCTCTCCCTCCCTCTGTGGTCTCGCCAAGTTTTGGACTTGTCCTTTTCTGGTCCAAAATTGAACCAAATTCAAGACCAAATGAAATTTTTGGGCCTTTGAAACCACACTAAAGTGATGTTGGTCCAATTTTTTGGAATTTCAGCCCACCACTAAAGTTGGTCTTACTATTGGATTGGTTATGAAAGTAATTTTCAGCTTTTACAGTTGGATTAGTACCTCATAAATAGCTCATTATAGTGGGATACCTATAAGGCGTTAGAATCTGAGCATCTTGTCCAATGGTTTCTCGCCTTTTTTTTTAGACTTTGGGGCCTTTAGTAATTCCTGGAAAGGCTTAGCCCACAGTAAATTTCACGAGGATCTAGGATTTAGAGACTTTGGGGGCTTTAATCAGGCGTTATTCGCCAAGCAGTGTTGGCGGATCTGGAAATATCCAAATTCTCTCCTAGGTTCCATCTATAGAGGACGATACTTCAACCAAACATCATTGTTGGAAGCCCATGTTGGATCAAATCCCTCATGGGAATGGCACAACTTATTGTTTAGAAGAGATCTCCTTCTTCAAGGTTTAAAAAATGGCAAGTTGGGGATGGACAAGACATTATAGCTTTCCAGGACAAGTGGGTAGTTCCAAAGAAATTCATTACTCCATTGGTTCGCCTCCCGGATCCTAAAAATTCCCCAAGAGTCTATTTCTTTATTAGAGAAGGTAGGGGAGAGTGGCGTATCCCAAGACTTCAATACTATTTTGGATCCTAGATCGGTATCCCTTATATGTAAGACCCCTTTCCCTAAATGCCATCAAAGGAACACAAGAATTTGGCATTTTACCAAAAAATGGATCTTATACCGTTAGAACCGGATACCATCTGGTATTAGAAATCTCTTTAGCCTCGAGTCGTAAGCACTTGGTTCAAATTATGGACCCTTCTATCTGGAAGAAGACGTGGGATATTTAAGTTCCTCCTAAGCTGAAGTTTTTCATCAGGCAATGCCTGAAAGTGATTCTACCAACAGTAGTAACACTTGAACCTAGAGGAGTTAATTGTCTGACCCGATGTCATGTTTGCTGGAGGAGTTGGGAAAGTATTGAATACATGTTCTTCAGATGCTCATTAGCCACCTGATTGTGGTCACTTATGGGTCTAAATGATTTCATTGTGTCAGCCTTGACTGTGACTTTTAGTCTCTAGTGGCGACATGTTATGCTTTCTGAGCCCCCCCCCCCCAAAAAAAAAATCCATGTTCTCCTATACGTATGCGTATTGTGGAGGATCTGGAAGTCTCGTAATAAGGTGGTCTTTGAGCATTATCAACCACCTGCCCAGTCTCTAGCTCGTCAATGTTTTTTCCAAGTTCGTGAAGTCTCTTCCTCGCTCCCTCCTGCGTCAATCCCTCCTCTTCGACCCCCGCCATCCCTCCTGAATTCCTCCTCCTAATGATTTTCTGAAGATAAGCTTTGATGTCGTTGTTCGTAATTTCGGTTGCTTGTCTGGCCTGGTTGTTCGTGGGACAGACGGGCATGTGGCATTGTCAGTAAGGTCCCAGCATCCTGGCATTGTTGATCACCTCGCAAAACTTCTTCCAGCACAGGATGCCATTTCCTTCATGGTCTCCAAGTTCCTACCTCGCGTCATTATCGAAGGTGATTCATAAGTAGTGATTCGTCAGCTTCGACAGGGTGTATCTTCAGACTCCCTCGGAGGACCTGTGCTTCGTGATTGTCTTCATCTTCTGTCTTCGGTTTCTGTCTCTTTAGAGTTTAGGGCAGTTCCTAAAACTGCAAACGGGGTTGCCCATAGAGTGGCGCAAAAACCCTGTTACTTTCTCCTCTTGAGTTAAGTTCTTCCGGCTTTGTAGGTTGGCTTCACTAAAAGGTGGTGCTATGGGAGGAATCCTGGGTAGATTGTATATATTCTTTCTTTCCATTGTCATTACTTGTAGGGGGGAAAATAGTTAATTGCAGTGATGCGAAAACCAATCTGTATTATCGGCGTGGAGTGGACTCTAGATAACTTGATAAACAAGGTGCCTTCAGTATTGGTCAGGTTGGTAGATCATATTATGAATTGATTGACTTTCTTGTTGGTCTAGTATAGATTCAATACTCTATGCCAATTGGCCCATAGACCAATCGAGTTGCGGCTAAATGGATCATTGGTTAACTGGGATCGCATGTTTGCATCGTGGTGGGTCTCAATTACACATAGGGATGTCTATTTGGGTTCTATTTGGGTTCGATTTTTCGATTTTAACCTAAATCCTAATTACACATCGATGGACTCGAGCAGGTTTAAGTAGTTATATCATGTTCCAATAAAGCTATGAATGGATCGGGTTTCAATTTAATCAGATTTGCGAGTTAATCAATTTGGTTCCAGCCAGATGACTGATCATCAACATTTTGGCCAACCTGAAGACACCAACTTCTGGTCAACTCAAATTACAGGTGAATCGAGCCTGAAAGAATTGGACGAACTTCCTTAATTTCTGAAAAATTATTTATGAACACCCACATCCCATAACAACATTATGCCATCGACATCATAGGCAACCCGCAACGCTAACACACAAAAGCATCATATGATCATAAACTTGTTGCGGAAATCAATCAGATCATATACTACATCTTCAGACCTTTGGAGGAGGGGGTGAAACTATGATGAATGCCTTCGTCCGATTGACTACAGGTGGCGGTGGTGCTCTGGTCGGCAAACTCGTCCTTAAGCTCCGGAAGGCCACCGAGTTACTCCTGCCTGGAATCTCAGTATCTCCCCCATTTTCAGACTTCTTACCACCATTTGCGTCTCTCCAGTTCTGAATTTGCAGTAGAGTCTCTTTATAACCTGCAGAGATTCAAAATCACACATCAAACACACAGCTCGCACCTTTCACCATACTGACCCCAGAAATTAATATTCTGAGGCGTTTACCACAGTTCGAAAAGAAAGTCAACTTAGAGAAAGCAAAACGAAATCTGGGAATGGATTAGTATGTATGATAATTACCATAAGGACGCAAGGCAGAGGATGAAGTAATATCAGCAGCAAGAAGATGCAGCACTAGCAGCAACGCGATTGCAGCCAACTTTCTTGTCATCATGGGAAAAAACCAGCAAGCTGAAGGAATTCAAGGATACAAGCAGAGATACAAACTAAAAGAACTTGCTGCAAATGGTGTATATATATAGTTTGTACATGTTTAAGTGTGATGATTAAGAGTCATTTTCCTCATAAAACAAACGTTGTGCAAGGTACTTAGCATTAACTAAACTATCATATTCATCTAGTTGTCCATTAGGTCATGCAGGAAAAAAGAATTCACGAGTTGCTTGGGATTGGCCTTTGGAAGGTACCCCTCGAATAGAATGCCAATATAACACAACCCCTCCATCGCTAGATTTGCTTTATTGAATCAAAAGTCAACCAATTCATAAGAGTATTCGATGACAGAAACCTACTTTCTATCTACTATTTGTTCCAATAATGTCAACTGTTCTTGTCAAGTTGGGGGGAAAAGAACATGTACTAGTTGCATAACTTGCATCCACCACCCTTAAAAAATCTAAACCAACAGGCAACAGGTAGTTTCCAAGAATTCCAGTGCTGCACCCTTACAGCATTTACAGCTAACAAGCAACAAGAAACTTCAATTAATCAACAACCTAGTGCAATATTGTTTCATTCAGGGGAAGACACGAACACAAGAAGAATGCATTAAGTCGAGTACCGAAAAAAATGATGTGCTGGCCTTCCTTCACGTACCCAGAGGTTCTAAAATGGCGCCCACATGTCAACGTAATGCCTCAGAGCTTTATGAGGGATCGCAGTCTTCCACGCTTTGCTATCGGGCAACGGACCAGTGAGAGCCAGGGTGCTATCTTCAGAGGAGCGTTTCCCAAGCTTCAAAACATGAAGCTGATCGCCGAAAACCGTGTGCATTGCAGCCAAAGTCTGTTCCATTACAGCCTTCCCATCCCGCCGTTTGTTCTCTGCCTCCACACAACTGCCCCCAACGTTCACCATCACTCTCCCGCATTTCGTCAAACGCCTTCTGAGCATCTCCCACGTGTTGGGATCCTGAAGCTCCGGTATCAGACTGCCCTTGGAGAACAAGTCAACGAAAATCCCAGAGTACCCATCTTTCACCGCCGCCGTTAGAGCGTTCCCGATGTAGATGAACAGCCGGTCTTTGTACTGGGATTCGAGCTTGTGGAGTCCAAAGAACTCTCTCCCAACGTCAATCACGGACGGGTCGAGCTCCCACCCGTGAACAATCACGTCCGGGTACAACTCGAGAACCAATCGGGCAGTCGTGCCCGCACCGAACCCGAGAATTGCGACCGGCCCGGATGAGGGAAGAATCGGAGGCAGAGTGGCGAAAACGTCGAAGTAAGTGTCGGTGAGGGACTTGACGAGGAAGGAGATGCTGTGGATGTTGCCCGGAGCGTCGAGGAGGAGGAGGCGAGAGCCAGCGAGGGGGTGGTCGATGGCTCTTCTGGAGACCTCGAGGACGCGGATGTAGTTGTGCCTGGACTTGAATCGAGCGATGATTTTAATGTCTTCCATGGGGATTCCGCCGTCGTCGTCATCGGACTCGATTTGGGTTTGGGTTCTGGGGTTGGTTTTGCGGTTTGAGAGTTGGGTTTTTTCGGATTTGGCGGTTATTTTCAGAGGTTTCCGTGGTAGGGAATAGCGATTGGAATTGAAGGGCTGTCGAGCATCGTGGCGGGAAAATCGAATTGGTGAAACCATTGCCGGCGGGGGGAAGAAGAGGGAGGCTCTGGTAACGGCCATGTTTTCCTTCCCAAGCTCGGCGATTTAGTGGAGGCGCGCCCGTTCTCCTCCGCCACCATTCATTTTAAGATGGCCGACGACCCTAGACGGCGCTAGAGCAGAGAAACTGTGTGTTAAAACGACATGTCGTTTCATACGCTCTGTGTCGTTTCCCTGTATCCTGGATCGAATTGACAGATATTGGAAGTGTGAATTATCTGCATAACCAAATTGAAACTTTCTACAAGTTTTGGTACTATATTATCAATAGAAGAAGAACCGGCGCTTGTCGTCGGCTTTTTCTCACCGGAGCAATATTTAACTTTTAAGCAGCAGCAGTATTACTGATATAGTGATATATGGACCAGTACAAACCAGAAAGTCGGTTTACAAATTGCAATTTGATGAAAAGCAGAACTAGGAGAAACCACTCACACAAAAGCTGGCTTATTCTCTACAAATCTCAGCACTAGTTTTACATAAACCCAGCCCTTCCATATGACCTGCACTACCAGAAGCACAATGGGAGTTAATGAACCCTCTAGCTCTAGCTCCCTCGATAGGTAGAGAACGAGAATGGCGAAACGAGCAAAGGAACATGGAAGTGCTCCAACTTCTGTGACTCCCTGATCTCAAACACAATAGACACATAGGGGAAGAACCCAGATGGATTGTACTCCCCCGTGTTGAAACTTATTCTGTATATTCCAGGTTTGACCGCATCAACTATGCTCGTCAGTTGCCCAGACCTACCATCGGTGTTGGTCTTCGAGGATCCCTGATACACCCAGCCGCCTGCATCTCCTCTCCCGCCAAATGATGGACGAGGTTGAGCACCGTGCCACATTTCCAATAGCACCTCAACTCCAGCAGCTGGAGACCCTCTTGAAACATCCAATATATGTGTTGTAATTGGTGGACGAGTTCGAGTTGGTACTTCTTGAGAAGGCTTTCCAGATGAAGCTTCGGGAGTCGGAGTAAAATGCCCTCCAATGATGCTCACACGGTCTTCTAGATCCCCAAGAAAGAACAATAAATAGTGAGCAGATGAAAACTGAAGCCATGTGAATTCTTAACTACACTTACAAAACTACCAAGAAGAACACACTAGCAAGAAGCAAATGCTAAAACCAGAAATAAGCCCCATAACATCAACAAAATCAACATCGTTATTGACCATTGTACCCATAAAACGATGGAATGTTTGATCACCTGTTGCAGCAGATCTTGTTCTGGTGGCGAAGAGCTTTGCAAGTCGTAGTTCTGTTACTTTCATTTGCTCTTGAGCCGCAATCTCAAACTCAACTATAGGCCGGTTTTCATAACGTTTCTACAAGTATAAATCAAGTTACAGATCGCATCATGTCACAACTTGCATGAAGCCATCAATATAACTTAACTGCCGATAAACAAATAAGAAATTCAAGGAAACAGCATAGATGAATGGATAGCTATTTTTTTCAATTCCTAGTTAATGTTAACCAACTAGATACCATTAAGGTAGATTGTGGTTGCACCAACCCACAATGAATCGATAAGCCAAGCAGGCAAGGGGAAATTAGTGCAGCAGATGTAGTAAATATATGTAAATCCAGAATAAGTTTTACCTTCAGCTCCACAAGTATTTCACCAGAACTCCGCCCAGATGCAAATATAAGGAAAATGAACCCAAATTTTTGCCTGTACCGAGCATTCCAATCAGCTAGTTCCTACAAAAGAAACCCGATTTCAGTTTCATGAAACCCTAATTGGAAGAAAGGGAGAAACAAAGTTCGGACCAAAATGTTGCAGACCTGCAAGATGGAAGTAGATGCAGTGGATATCGCTGTTGATTGTTCTCCCTTACTCCATCTGAAACGCCGGCGCAAGGGAATCAGAAAGACAATTCAAGGAAATGAAACAAAATCGAAGCTTAAAAGGAATAGGAACGGAACTCAGAAGCGGCATGAGAAGCGGCAGCGGGGGCGGAGGATTGGCCAATCTGAGGATGAGCGGCGAAAGCTTCGAGCCAACCATTAACATCTACCTTTTTATTCCTCAAAATCAACGGTTTGTACCCAATCAGAATGATTTTCCAGTGACGAATCAGCAGAGACAGGAAAATGAAAGAATTGAGAGAAGGAAAGGAAAAAGGATGGAAACCTTGTTGAACCAGATATCTCTGGCTGCAGAAACGGCCTGATCGAGCGAGGAGAAGGGCGACGCGGACGCCATTTCCTTGGCGAATTTAGTGCTGCCGCAACATGCTAACCAATCCTTCTCCTCGAAATTCAATGTCGCCTCCATTTTGGGTGAGCTTAATCTCCTTTTGCTTCTCTGCAGGCTTCCTTTCTGTTTCTCCTCCTCCCGCCCGATCCACTGGTCTTAGCTGAGATTTCCAGTCGCGAGCTCACTGAAGATGGTCGGACTTGACTCGTGTAGTCCTGCGGATTAGGGGACGGATGGCTATATTACAAATTCGGTCACTCAGTTTATATTGGCTTCTCACGTTTGTCACCCAAACACAGTTTATTTCTTATTACTCACTCACTTTAAATTTTATTTCATCATTGGTCATTGATCGAATGACCGTCCACTTGCATTAAATTCGTCTTAGTTTGCAGTCAACTATAATCTTTGTAGTTAGCCGATGACGTGATGATTAAAGAGAGGGATGACCAAGCGACCAGTAATGTCAAGCCATTACATGGATTCTTAGCTGTGTCGAACCAGGGATAGCGTTGAGTCTGAGTGGCTTCACTACTACTCGTGATGTGTGGTAGCACTTGGCTGAAATGCATTCTCAAACAAACGCATCACAGAAGTATGAAATGGATTCTGAGATGGCTCGACTTGAATATGGGGAACTAGACATTTGAGCCTACTATCGGTCGGTTTTCCATCTGTGGATGGAGCATGATCTGCTACTCTAATCCTTGATTTTTGTTGTCGATTCAACTACTATTATCCAAGAACGTTCTAGTCCTCGATTGATGCAATTTCTTATGAAACTACGATCGGAATATGAGGATATCTGAGCAACTCTTCTGCATCATAATATTACATCCATGGAAAATGTGTTGGTGAGCTCCTTCGTGAAGAGACAAGATTGCATAGTCAAGCAAAGCTCAATATCCACTTGAGTGAGACGAGATTTGCCTTTCTTGCTCACTTCGCCAAACCACAATTTCATCGACTCCTACTAGTGAAATTATTTTCTATTTTTGCAAGGAGCTTGGACATATCCATATTCACTATAAAAGAGCCTAATGTTTCAAACTACTGCAAGAAAGAGGCGTTCAATGACACTCTTCCTTTTTTGTTAAGTTACTACGTACTATTACTCACCTTTAATTTATTATTCAGCAAAACAAATTAAGATAAAAGAACTATAACTATTGTAGCAAACTACAGTTAAAGTTAATCTAATTACACGTTGGGAATTCACTTAGGTATAGAGGTGGCAAATGGATTGGATTGGTGGATTGGATTGGTGGATCCATGGATCAAATGGATTGGATCTAATGGATTGGTGGATTCATGGATTGGATCAAGTGGATTGGTGGATTATCCATGAATCCAAATGACATCCTCAACCAAGGACCAATATGTAAAATGTAAAAAGTTTAGGTACTAAAATGTCACAATGAAAAATTTTAGGTACCAAAACGTAATTTTCCAATGATAATTTTCGTATAAAAAATTAAATTTTAGGTACCAAAATGTAAAAAATAAAAATTATAGGTACTAACCCATAATTTTCCAATGATCCATGGATCCAATCCATGAATCCACCAATCCAATTGGATTTGGATCAAATGGATTGGATTTAAATGGATTGGATAAGGTGGATATTTTTAATGGATTGATGGATTGGATTGGTGGATTGGATTGAAATTGCCACCTCTACTTAGGTATGATTCCTCTATCCACTAGCCGAATTAATGATTGATGATTCTCTACCTTGTTTCTCTATTCATTCAAAAGGCAGAAAGTCCTTAACTAGACCTTGAATCTCGATTAAAGTAATCAAGCCCCTCTGTAATCGGTTGCCTAGAGGGACGTATCCTTCTCTAGAACAAGTTATCAAGGAGTTTAACACTAGGCTCCCTCTATCGAGTGAGGTTCTCAATCGATACAAAGTAAGGAATCGACTCACTCTCGCATAATCAATTTCGTACTTCTAATCAATGGTGGTCTATTGACCTAATCGAGTATTCCCTTTCATAGGATCAAAGCAAAATCAATAATCTTGAGTAAATCAGAATTGAATCATGAAAATATGCATAGATTGAATAGGAACTCAATAATATCATTATAGAGTACTCATACAATCATCAAAATGAGTAAAACATAGTTAGAGTTCCTCAAAACCTAAGTGAAGGTAAGTTACCCATAGAGAAGAGAGAGAATGCAAAAATATGATCTGGATCTTCAATCTCTATCTCCAAGCTTGATTCCCGAGCTCCAATGGTGAAGAAATCTTTCAAAATAACTCCAAGAATGTCTCCAGTTCTCTCTCTACTCCTCTCTCTCTAATGGTTTGTCCTTTAGGTTTTTGGAATCCAAAATTTTGTCCTTCCTCTCTATAAATCGCAATAATGCATTTATACACATAGTATAGGCCAAGTTACGACCCCATGTCACTACCGTACCCTTTGGGGTTCAGGCCGTGACTTCTGGTATGATTTCTGCCTCCTGAGGCGCGGGTTTCGGCCAAAATGGGCTTAAGTTACGGGCTGGGTTGTAACTTGGAAGGTCGTTCGTAACTTGGGGGGTATGCTTATGTTTCTCAGCTTTCAAGTTACCCACCAGACGTAACTTGGGGTCTCAACGCGTAACTGGGGTCTGCTACTATTTTTGGGCTCATTTTGACCTCCAAATGCCCCATAACTTGCTCCTAACATTCCTCCACATACTAGGACCTTAAGTGTGACGAAATAAACACAACCTAGCATGAAATAGGCAAAAGAATGATCAAAACCAAGCCAAACAATTGAGAAATGAGGGAATACATATGGTGTTATCACTAGGGATGGCAA